TTGACTCTGTGTCTCGGGAATTCTTGGTTGCTAGGATTACTCAAAAAGGTTTTCCCTCCATCTTTGTGAACTTGATAAAAGCTTGTATATTTGATGTCAACTTCTCGATTGCTCTCAATGGTGCTCTTGATGGCTATTTCAACTCTACAGTAGGTCTTAGGCAGGGCTGTCCCTTAAGTCCATATCTCTTTTGTATGGTCATGGATGCTTTTTCCAATCTTCTTGAGGGCAGTGGCTTTAAAGGTATCTCTTCTGACAACTTTACTCTCACACATCTGCTTTATGCAGATGATGTGCTTATTTTTTGTGAGGCCACGATTGAGAATTGTCACATTTTGAGCACCATTTTAAAAGATTTTTCCAATGCCTCGGGACTTCATATAAACTATGATAAAAGTGCTATTATGTTTCCTAAGCATTTGAGAAATCAGTTGGATATCTGTCAAGCACTTTCTATTCATACCATTTCTTCTAAAATCACATATTTGGGAATACCTCTGTCTTTCTACAAGCTCGAAGTTGAGGACTATATGCCTCTCATTGATAGTATTTATAAAAAACTTAATGGTTGGAAAGCCAACTTGTTGTTTTTTGCTGGCAGGTTTCAATATCTGAAATTCACCATTCATAATACAATTGCTTACTGGATCCGTGGCGCCATTTTACCTAAATCTGTGCACATAATTTTTAAAAAAGTCAGTGCTAGATTTCTATTTTTTGGGGACACCAACTCTTCTAAAAGACTACACATGGTTTCTTGGGACAAAGTTTGTTTGCCAAAATCTAAAGGGGGTCTAGTATACCTTCTATTAGAGCTCTCCAATTTGCTTTTAACTGTTCTGTTATTGTCATAATGTATAATTTCTATTCCCCACTATCCACTTGGATTTTTAATAAGTATAGATCTCCTTGGAAGCCTTCTAAATCTTCTGACTCCAAATTTTGGAAATGTATTTGTAACACTGCTATCATGGCTAAAGCTTGTTTTCAGTTCAAAATTACACGCAATGCCCCGATCTCCTTAAAATGGGACCACTGGTATAAAAACTGCACCTTGACTGATCATCTTGGGGGTGATTACCTTGGGTACATCCCTGATCTTGCTTTAAAAGATGTCATTGTGGGCTGTTGCTGGAATCTTCCAGTTAATTTGCACTCCCAGGTGCGGGCTACTTTTGAAGGTATTAATGTGGAGCACTTCTCTGGTCCTTGCTTGATTTGGAGAAACAGGAAAAACTACAACTTTAAATACTTCTTGGAGGAATTCTATTTGGATGTGCCTGACTGTAGCTGGTCCAAAATGATTTGGCATAAAAAGCATGTTATTAAGCATTTTGTTTTCATTTGGCTGGCGTTGATTGGAGGGCTGAAAATTGTAGACACTCTTCTTATAAGAAACATTCAGGTTCCAGGAACCTGTAGCTTATACTTGGAACATCTTGAAACAGTTTTTCACTTATTTTTTGAATGTTACTACTCGTTTTCTAATTTGAATGCTATTGTACCAGGTGTGCAAAGCTTTCTTTTTAGGCCTAATATTTTGCAACTCTTTGATTGGGTAAATGGTGCTCATAATGGCAAACATGAGGTTAATTACTTTTATAAGCTGGTCATCTACTGTGTGATTTATTTTATTTGGAAAGAGAGGAACAACAGGAGATTTGGGAACACTACTCAATGTCACACCACTTTGCTGCTTCATATTAAGAGAGTGCTGTTTGAAAAGCTGTTAAAATGGAAGAATGCCATGGATTTGCTGGAAAAACTATAAGCTGGCAGGTTTGCATCGTGAGACTATTGCCTTGTCCCTTCGAGTATCTGCAACTGCCATGTCTGGACAATGATGAAGCTCCCTTAACAGAACCCTTGGACGGTCTTCGGGCAACCAGGGATTTGTCTCTTTTCGATGCATTTTTGATGATTTACTGAGTCCAGACAGTATAGGCTTGGGAGCATGTCCTGTTTTTGATTTAAGAGTTCTCAGTGTTTTGGTGATCTGTTGCGCCTTCTTGTCTTCCTTAATTTTGTATTTTGGAGTTCTCCTTTTGGTTGGCCAAATTTTGTATTTATTGGCCGATTTTTGATGTAATTTTTATTACAGTTGTTTGTTGTAATTTTCTTCTTGATTAATATTCGGGCAAAGCCCAAATTTTTCCCAAAAAAAAAAAAAAATACTTGCTCATATAATATATTGGAAGCGCCTTCAGTTGTTTCCTTTTTAACTTATTTAATAAATTCAAAATTACTTAGTACCTCACTTCACAAAAAAAATTAATTGACATGTTTAAGTTTTTTTTTTTTAAATTTTCAAGACATACCAATTCTTGCACAATTATTTTACTTTGTCAAAAATCAAAATGAGTATTATTTGCGCTATCATTATGATCATGATATGAATGCTATGGAATTTAAATCCTCTTGAAGTTACAATATCAACTAATAAGAAAAATTAAGGCTTTAATAAAAGGAAGTGTTATTTAATTTTAAAGCATGTTAAAAAAAAAAAATTTACTTTATCATATATTATATTCCTGGAAGTGCCTTCAGCTAGAGATAATGGAAATGAGTAAGATGAATTCTACCACTTGAAAGAAATTCTTTTAAATAAAACATCAAAGTTATATATTATGATATCATTATAGTAAGTGTTACAATAATAGAGTTGAGCCGACTTTTGAGGTGGCTTAGATCTGACTCGATAAATGGCATGTGAGTCAAGCTCGATGAGCTAATTAGTCAAGCTTCAACCAACCTAAAGTTGACTTGCAAGTTCATGAGCCAGGTCATGTAAAAATGTGATTATAAATTACATTAAAATATATAAAAAATTTAATAAGTTTAGTATAAAGTTGATAAATTTATTTTTTAAAAGTTCTCTTTTTTATTTCAAGTAATTTATTATTATTTCTTATTTAATTTTTTTTATCGCATTATTATAATAACCAATATAATATCTTTTATAAAAAACAAGACATCTCTTGAGTCGACTCAAACTCATTGAATCAAGCTTGAGCTCGAGTTTGAAATCGATTAGTTAATCATGCTCAAGCAAAATTCTATTTCCCACTTATTCTGTAGAACATTGTGGTTATTTCCCACTTCTTTGTTAATCTATTGCATTTTATAAAAATTCATAGTAGTATATATAGTGAGAGTTTTTAAATTTTTCAACTTTATATGAAGATGTAGTACACATGTAATAAAAAGAAAATTTAATAGGAGACCGGCATTTTTAATAACAATTTTGAAAGGAGAAAATAACAATGATACATGGCCAAATTAAAATGAAAATATTCATAATGGTAATTCTATTTTTTATTAAAAATTAATTTCGAATAATAAATGATTGAGGCTTGTTCTATTATAGTCAAACACAATTTTTTAAAAGAAAAGTTAGGAGAGGAAATCCCAACAAAAATTTTATAAGAATAGATATTTAAAATTATGGAATTCTTTTTTAAGAAATATAATATATGAGTTGATTAAGTATTTATAATTTACAATTTTATAAAAGTTCCAAAAAAAAACACTAAAATCATTTCCAACCGACCCAAAAATTCTTCTAAATTTTTTTTAATTGAGTATTTTTCATCACAGCATCTATCCTCATAGAGTGAATCAGCTATTGATAGGATGTCATGCATCGCCAATGACATGGTTGGATCCCGATTATATTCAGGGTGGGCAAAAAAAAAATTAATGTAGAAGAGGGGCCCTCAAAAATAACATTTTGCCCTAATATGACCCCATCTAGCGTTATTTGTCATCAATTTAGGCCGGTTGACAGGGAAAAAAATACCAATTTTATGTTGATTCATTTCCAAATAATATAAATTATATAATGGATGCATACGATGCAATTATATATGTAATTTTTAATTATTTTTTTAATTCATAAATTATATTGAAATATAAAATTTTGTTTAAAATTTTTGCTTTTATACTATTTAAATTTGTATATAATAAGTCAGCTCTTCTTCAAAAATAAAACTGGATCCGCCCCTGACCAATGATGCCATAATAAGTTATAGATTACATATGTCAATATATATCCATACATAATAAGCTTATTGACACATAATAATTGTGCAATTATTAAGGTGTAGGCTTACATGAGGTGTGTTCATTATCATTTGGAATCATTATATCAATTATGCACATTCAAACAATATTACTAATAAAAAAAAAATTTCGCAGATTTTGGGATTCAGGCAGCGGTAGCCAAGAGAATTTTTCATTCATCAACCAATGAGCCACACTGCTGAATCCCTTACTAAATATTACTCTTATAAATTAATTACTCTCCTCAAATAAGAGCAAAAAGAGCTAAATGAAGAATAAGATTGCAGTTTAATGTGCTCTATGTCTAGAGAAATTATTCTGTGCGACATTCGATCGAAAAGAACAGTCAAAATATATGAGTTTAGATATAATATACTAATTTATATACAGTGTATATCAAATTAATATACATATTAACACTCACATTCAAAATGATCCTTCGCTTCTTGATGCCATAATTTCTCCTACATCCAATAGCATGACTCCCTATAACAAACAGTCAAAGGCTCAATGCGTTTATCTGATCGACAGGTCATTCAGACTTTAAAAAGCCCGTAATAAAGTAATCTTTAATACCCACCGCGGGGTGGCCTGGTGGTGGAGAACTGGCTGGCCAAAGGCCAGGTACCAAGTTCGAATCCCCTCAGCGCTTCGTGAAAACCTTAAGTGTTGGCCCGTGTAAATTGGTGTGGGTTGCATGCTAGGTCGACCGGGTTATCCCCTAACGGGATGATCTGTTTAATTATTATTAAGTAATCTTTAATAAACCAAAAAAAAAGTATATAAAGTAAGGAATAACGGGAACCTAACAAACGTCCCAAAAAATATTAAATAAAACAACCTTAAGTAGCCCCTTCCGCTCCCGACGCACAGTTTTTTTTTATATATATTTATGTAGGCCCATTAAAACAAATTCATTAACGCATAATGTATTTGAATCCAAGATGTCTTAATTAGCAGCCAAAATCACTTATAGCCGCTACGCACGCTATTTTTTATTTTTCCGAGCACGAAAATCGCACAAAGCAAAAATGGCCAAGGGAGAAGACGAAGAGGAGACGCATGGGAGGAGTACGAGGGCGGCAGTCGAAGGCGAGCTCCGCGCTCTGTGGAGCATGGCGGCCCCCATCACAGCTATGAACTGCGTGGTTTACCTCCGTGCTATGATATCCGTAGTCTGTCTCGGCCGGCTCGGTCCCCTCGAGCTCGCCGGAGGGGCTCTTTCTATCGGCTTCACCAACATCACGGGATACTCGGTCCTATTCGGCCTCGCATCGGGCTTAGAACCACTCTGCAGCCAAGCTTACGGCTCCCGCAACTGGGACCTCATTTCCCTGTCCCTACAGCGCGCCATCCTTCTCCTACTCACGGCCGCCTTGCCCATTTCATTCCTCTGGCTCAACCTCGGTCCCATCCTCATCACTCTTGGCCAAGACCCAGCAATCACAACCTCCGCCGCTTCGTATTGCCTCTTCTCTCTCCCAGACCTCCTCACCAACGCCTTCCTTCAACCCCTCCGAGTTTTCCTTCGTTCCCAAGGCATAACCAAACCCATGGCCGCCTGCTCTGCCGCAGCCGTCCTCCTTCACCTCCCCCTAAGCTTCTTTTTCGCTTTTGTCCTCCATCTCGGCGTTCCAGGCGTCGCCTTTGCAGCCGTGCTCACTAATCTCAACATGGCTCTCTTCCTCCTCGCCTACCTCCGCTTCTCCGGTGCCTGTAAGCTCACCTGGCGTGGCTGGTCCCGCGCAGCCTTTTCCCAACTCACCCCTCTTCTGCGCCTCGCCATCCCTTCGTGCTTCGGCGTCTGCCTCGAGTGGTGGTGGTATGAGATCATGACCGTCCTCGCCGGCTACCTTCCCAATCCAACCGTCGCGGTTGGTGCCACAGCCATCCTCATTCAAACAACTAGCCTCATGTACACGGTCCCTATGGCTTTAGCAGCCTGCGTCTCCACCCGGGTACTTCCAACCTCCATTCAAAATAAGGTTCGATTAAAGGCGCCTGTTGCTCACTTTTTCAATGCAGGTGGGCAATGAGCTTGGAGCCGGGAGGCCGAGGAGCGCAAGGATGGCGGCGATGGTGGCGATGGGATGCGCGGTGGTGATCGGAATGGTGAATGTGGCGTGGACAGTGCTATTCAAAGAGAGCTGGACAATGCTCTTTACGAAGGATTCGAAGGTAGCGGGGCTTGCGGCGGCTGCTTTGCCGCTTATGGGGCTTTGCGAGCTCGGTAACTGCCCGCAGACGACGGGGTGCGGGGTGCTGCGGGGGACGGCGAGGCCGGCTATCGGGGCGAGGATTAACTTTCTGTCGTTTTATTTGGTCGGGATGCCGGTGGCGGTCGGGCTAGCGTTCGGGCTGCGGGTCGGGTTCGGTGGGCTGTGGTATGGGCTGTTGACGGCGCAGGTGGGGTGTGTTGTGTCGGTGGTTTTGGTGGTGTTAGGATGGACTGATTGGGAGGCGGAGGCCACGCGGGCTCGGAAACTCACCGGCGTCGAGTTGGCGGGCGAATGCGATGTTGTCGGAGAGGAGACGATGAAGTTTTTAGGTCACTTTGCAGCCGAGGTGTAGCGGTTGAATTTTGTTTTTCTTTTTTTTCTTTAATAGTAAGGAGGGATGGTATAAATTTAATGTAAGGGTTTAAATTTAGAATATTGGCAAAGTGGCCAAGTGGATGTTGTTTAATTTAGTGGTAAACATTTTGGTAATTGTTTTTAATTGCTTGGATCGAATCTTTTTTCAAGGAACTAACATTTTGAAAGAAAAAAAAAGTTAATAAATTTTTTATAAACTTTATCAGTTAAATGCTAAAACGGATGTCTTGAATTAGAGAAATTATTATGTACGGTTATCGGATAGTCTGAAGGTCAATCAGGGTGTGTAACGTCATCCGATATCGGTACACAATGAATTGATTATGTTGTGCATTCTGATTGACCTCTAGACGATATTCAATAACCGTATATAATAATTCTTTTTGGACGGAATTAATTGCCTGAAATTTTACATGGGAAAAACACCACCCATTCATTATCAACTAGGCCACTTCAAACCGGATCAATTTCTTATATCTGTTCAACTTTTTGAGTTGGATTCTAACTTTTAATTTTTTCCTTAATGATGTATATGATATTAGTAGAAAGTGAGGTTTGGCAGCAAAATCATGTTTTGGAACTTTTGCACCATACTAGAAACAGAGATGCGACTAATCATGTTGCTCAATTTAGAGGGATGAATCAACTTAGAGCAAGTAGCCCGTTGAACATGCGAGTTGTGGGATTTTTCATTTTTTTTAGAAAAAGGCGGATTGAGAACATAACCTTTTTTTTTTAAGATGCAAAAGATTGCATTAATAGAAAAGAACAAAGCAAAAACCTACAAAGTTGATTCCTCCTTTAACAAATTAAAAAAGTAGGAGGAACCTTATTCAACCTAAAATTTTCCCAAATAAACTTACTAAAAAGGGCAAAGTTAGCACACAAATTACCTAACTTAATACTATTTCTCCCTATACAATTAAAAAAACCTAAGTTGAATTCCTTTAAGAAATCTAGATCCTCCTTGTAAATGCCATTATTCCAAGCACCTTGTAGAAATGAATAATGTTAGAATTGTCACCTTCAATGATAATGCATTTGTATTTGAATATCCAGTCTTTAATTACATCCTTCAACGAATGTATTGCTGAAAGCTCCAATTGTGCAATGTCCCAATGGACACAAGATTTTCCAAATCCCAATAAAAATCTTCCTTTGCAATATCGGAAAACCCCTCCAACTCCAGCTTTATACGAAGAGACTAGAGAGGCATTGACATGGACCTTTAACTAGTCGGGGAGGAGGATGCCAAATATTGGACAGTCTAAATGACTGGTTAGCATCCCAGTGGCCCGAGTTGAAATGACAAAATATGTGTGAGATTGAAGAATAGCAAACAACATTGGAAGCAATCAATAACGAGCTCTCTTCCACACCATCATAAATGTACCTATTCCTAGCTTTCCAAGAGAGGAATACAGCATTATAGTAGAGATTAAGAAGCATACAATCCTTTTGAGAAAGGAGATCCAACCATAAGACATACATCAAATCTAACAAACAAAGGAATTCCAAATCCCCATTTATTTAAGTATTGCAATACCTCCTTAAGCTTAACACATTTGTTGGTAATGTGGTCTACATCTTCAACATCATCACATGCTCTAGGACATTTGTCATCACCAATTAATCTTCAATAGGATAAAAAATGAAATGTCGGGAAAGCATTTCTACCTAGTCTCCACCAAAACACTTCATCTCGAGAGTTTAATTTTGCTTTATTGATCCACTTCCACACCTGGATATCATTACAGCCTTGCACTGAAGCTCTAAAAGCCAATATATCAATAGAAATTCCAGATTTTTGTTGTATAAGCTCCATACAGTCTTCACCCGAATCTGGAATAATTTTCACCTGCATAATCAGTTTCACAAGGTCCATAACAAAGTGTTTTAATAACTCCTCTTCATTCCAGCAGCCATCTACAATGAATTCCTTGACAAAAATTGCATCATCATCTTGAGGGGCAACGAACGTAGGCCACCTGTTGATACATTTATCCATAATCCAAGTGACTTTGAAGGCATCAACCGAACCACCATTTAATATTGACCACCATACAATAGGATTCAGCATCGTTCCTCCGTCATTCAATAATTTCAATGTAGATGAATAACCTCTCCTTGCATTTCCCATATCCAGCCGAGCACCATACTTAGGAGCTAATAACTTTTACAATAGGGAATCCTTATCTTGAATAAATATGCATGCCAACCTAGCTCTTAATGCAGGAGCTTTAGATACACTAGAATATAATCCATGACCTCCCAAAATCAAAGGCTTACAAAAGATTATACCAACTTACATAGTGTAAACCAAGACTTCCATTAGATTTATTCCAAAAGAAACTCCTACATAGATTGTTAAGTTCCTCAAGCACTCGTTTTGGAACAAGAGTATGTGTAGAATGAAAAGTGGGATAAGATAACATTACTGATTTGACCAATGTGATTTTGCCCGCCAACAAAATGAACTTGCTTCCCCATATGTTAAGCATCCTCAAGGCTTTGTCAATAATAAATTGAAAGTCATCGCTTACAAGTTTCCTTAAGGCAATTTTTACCCCAAGGTAGTTAAATTACTTTAGTGATTTAAATCCCATAATACGAGAAATGCATTTCTTCTTCTTTCTACTCACAAATTTACCAAATAAAATGGTTGATTTACCCAAATTTATATGCTGACCCGTCCATCCACAAAAATCATTAAGGATAACCTTTACTTCCTTTACTGCCTTCTTATTTGCTTACGAAAACATTTTAACATCGTAAGCATAAAGTAAATGGGACACTCTTGGACCAACTGAACTAATGCTAATCCCACAAGAACTTTGAGCAAAAGCATTAGGTAGGAGTTGTGAGCAAAGAATAAAAAGGCGAGGAAACAAAGGACAACCTTGATGAAATCCACTCTTTGCTTTAATCAAGTCTGAGCAGTTTCCATTGATAGTCAATGAAAAAGTAGGATCTTCAACACACTCCAAAACAAATTTGGAGAACTTGGGAGGAGAGTCAAAATAATCCAAGACTTTCCCAAGAGTTGACCAGCACATGGAATCATATGCTTGTTCCATGTCTACCTTGAAAGAAACAAGCCCTTTAGCAGATCTAGAATATATGAATTTGTGAAATAATTCTTGAGCAATTAAAACATGATCTGACAGAGATCTCCCTTTAATAATTGCCACTTGCTCCTTCGAGATAAGCTTCAGAATAACCTCAATTAATCTGTTCAAGATCACCTTTGCCACCACCTTGTACACAAAATTACATAAACTGATTGGTCTATAATTGGACAGGAAGAGAGGGTTGGACACCTTAGAAATAAGAACAATCAACGTTTCCTTCCAAACATCATTTAACTCCCCATTGCAAAGAAAATGATTGATAACTTCCCAAAAACCTGATTTAATGATATCCCAATCAGCTTTAATAAATGAGTAGGAAACACCATCCTTGCCAGGAGAAATGTTCCCACCCGTATGCTTCAACACCAACTCCACTTCCTCAATAAAAAAATCCCTTTCCATTAAACAAGTGTCAAAATTATTTAGACAATTCAAAGCTGGCGGCCAACCATCCAAATTATAGTTAATGTATTCCCATTTATTCTCAAAAAATTGAAAAAAGATTTCTTCAATCAGTTTTTGATCTTCCACCAAAATGTCATTCTCATCTGTCACTTTAGCAATACTGTTGGAGTTCTTCCTTGCACTAGCATAAGAGTGAAAAAAGTTCGAGTTGCAGTCACCCTCTAATAACCACTTCACCTTTGCTCTTTGCTTACACCATGAGTTCAAGTGAGTCATTGTTGAATTCAATTCATTTACTTTAGCTTTAAGGCTCCAACAATCTATTTGTGAGAGGGAATTATAGAATGATTCCTTAGTTTGAATGTCTAGAATCTCTTTCAAATGGAATTCCTTTAGTTGATTAAGATTCTTTAACTATAGAAAAATAATGATTTCAAGGATCTTCTAAACTTGATGTTGAGAATATGAGAACTGCTTCCCTGATAAGCCTTGTTCCACTCCTTCCTTACCACAGCAATAGAGGCCGGATATGAAGCCCAAATGTCCTCAAACTTAATGTTTCTTTTTGTGATCGGATTGAAATGAGGAATATTTAAAAGGATTAGACAATGGTCTTATGCCACTCTAGCTAAATGTCTAACCAACCATATGATGGGAAGAGCTCAAAGCAGTTGAATTGATAAAGAATCTATCCAATCTTTCAAGAATCCTTGCTCCACCAATTTTAATATTACTCCAAGTAAACTTGTGGCCAATAAAACCCACCTCATGAAGATCATTTCTTAGCAAAAATTCCTTCATCTCCTTCGACCCTTGGGAAAACAAAAATCTTCTTCTCCCTCTTTTATCCTCCTTGGAAAGCAAGCAATTGAAATAACCACCTATAACCATAGGAATTTCTACAATAGAATATTTATCCAACATCTCTCAAATGTCTCTCCTTTTATGCAAATCTTTGCTTTTATATACCGAAGCTACCCTCCATGTTCCTTTGTTATAAATTTCTTGATCACCAATAACCACTTAAGAAGAAGAGTCAAAAATAGAAAAATTAGTTAATTTTGAATTCCATAAAATAAGAATGCCTCCAGATAGCCCAACTGATGGAACATAAAAAAAATCCCATCCATCCCCAATCATTAAATTGACTTCGTTTCTATCAATTGAAGTCAACTTGGTTTCTACCAAACCCAAGAATAAAACACCATAAAGTTTAATATATTCACTAAGATATAGAGAAGCACTTTTCTTTCTTGCTCCTCTATAATTCCAAAATGCAATAGATGACATTTATTGAATAATAGAGGATGAGGTCTCTATTGTACATGTCACATCCAGATCTGATCTTCTGCTCCTAGTGGATGAATTGATCAGACCCAAGTCTTTGAGTTGTTTTGATTTTTTTTTAGTTAGCTGAGCGCTAACTTCTTTACCACCAACTTCGGCAATTACACCATCTAGAGGAACTTCTACTGAGCCCCCTTTAACATCAATTGTTTTAACTGCCACTTATACATGTAAGAAACAAGAACTTTTTCTCCCACTTCAGCCGTTACATCATCCAGTTTTGATTGAATA